AACTCGGGTGCACATTTATGTGACCCAAATCCAAATCTCAACAGAGTCGAAATATGTCTATAACCACGGGTACATTGATGTGACGTGGTTCGAGATATATTTTCACGATGTTGCAATTCTCTGTTAAAATAATAATAATGATAAAAGCGGTTAAAAGTTAAAATTCGCACATATGTTCAACATGTATTATATCAGATAATCAAGCCGAATATGACAGTTGAGCGATCGTGCTAGAACCACGTAACTCGGGAATGCCTAACACCTTCTCCCGGGTTAACAGAATTCCTTATCCGGATTTCTGGCGCGCAGACTATTAAACAGAGTCAATATTTTCCTCGATTCGGGATTCAACCGGTGACTTGGGACACCATAAATCTCCCAAGTGGCGACTCTGAAATAAATAAATAAATCCCATTTCGATTGTCCTTTAATTGGAAAAACCTCCCTTCCGCGTCCCTTTTGAGGCGGCGCGGGCGAAAAAGGAGGTGTGACAAGTGTGGCTTACAAAGACTTATGTCTGTTTCCAGATGTGCAATTGCCGACAGGGTTTAAGATGCCCAAGTTTGATTTGTACGATGGGCATGGTGATCCAATAGCGCACTTGAGAGGGTTTTGTAGCAAAATGAGGGGAGCTGGAGGGAAGGATGAATTTCTAATGGCATATTTCAGTCAAAGTTTGAGTGGTTCAGCATTGGAATGGTATACTCGGCAAGATCACGGAAGATGGTACACATGGGATGATCTAGCCCAGGCATTTGCTTGTCACTTCCAGTACAATCTCGAGGTCATTTTGGATCGACTGTCCTTGACAAAACTTGAGAAAAAGCACAGTGAAAGTTTCAGAGAGTATGGTTTCCGTTGGAGAGAGCAAGCAGCGAGGGTTGACCCTCCAATGAAAGAAAGTGAAAAGGTGGATTATTTCCTTCAGGCCTTAGAGCCCACTTATTTCAGTCATCTGGTATCGGCTGTAGGCAAATCCTTCAACGAAGTGGTGAAAATGGGGGGTATGGTAGAAGAAGGGCTCAAGTCGAATAAAATCATGAGCTATTCGGCTATTAAGGCAACCACTCAGGCTATTTAGGGTGGCGTAGGAGGAATAATTGGGAAAAACAAGAGAGAGGATGGGCTATTTAGGGCGGCGCGGGAGGAATAATTGGGAAAAAGAAGAGAGAGGATGTGGCGACAATTGATTCAGGAGCTTGGTTCGGACCTAGAGGCTCATCTTACCACTATAATCAGCCTCGATCCCACCACCGTACTTACCCCCACACCCAGTATAATCTACCCCAACACTATTACCCCCACCAGAACCTCATTTTTCTGTCTACTATGCCCAAACATACAACCAACCTCCTGCCCACGCGCAATGGTGTGCGCCCATTCCCCAAAACACTTATCTACCACCACGAGCCTACCGAAACCCTCTTGGACCAAGTTTCCGGCCTAATCAAGCATTTAAGGATGAAAGGTTGCAGAAAAAGAAAACCTTTACTCCATTGGGAGAGTCATATACTAGTTTATTTCACAGGTTAAGACAACTGGACATGCAAAGGCCGATACAGTCAAAAGTGCCAAATCCTCCCCCAAAAAATCTGGATTATTCTTTAAGCTGCGAATATTGTTCTGGTACTCTGGGTCATGACACGGAGAAGTGCTAGAACCTAAAAAGTGATATCCAGGAGTTCATTGATACAATCGGATTGAAGTTCAAGCTCCCGAGCCACCCAATATCAATCGGAATCCAATGTCAGCCCATCAGGAGGCAAATATGATTGAAATAGTGCATGAGGGAGGGGAGCCCAGGAAGCCGTCACAGACCATCATGATGATTCGGTCCAGTGGGGTCAAGACAGTTGAACAATCAACAAGTGAGAAATCAGTGCTCAAGTCAAGCGAAAGGAGTAGTGAACCATCCGTAATAGTTAAGAAGCGGTCTTCGAGTGATGTTGCAGCAAAGCAAGAAAGGATGAAAGTGGTTGTGCCAGGAGTGTCAAGCAAACCTATCGTAATCGTGGAGGGCGCTCGCACATATCATGTCATTATCAAGCCGGTAACCCAGTTACCGATAGTCAATAACAGGGCTATTCCGTGGAATTATGATTGGGTGACAGTGACTTATAAAGGGAAAGAAGTTAAAGAAGAAGTCTGTGAGACCCAGGGTTTGACTCATTCGAGGAGATGCTTTGCCCCCGAGGAGTTAAGAAAAGCTAAAGATAACCCAGTATTAGTGAAGAAAGCTGTAACTGAAGAAGAGGTAGAGGAATTCTTGAGAAAGATGAAGATGCAAGACAATTTTATCGTGGAACAATTGAAAAAGATGTCTGCTCAGATTTCAATATTGACATTGTTAATCCACTCAGACGAGCATCGTCGAGCCTTAATAAAAATCCTGAATGAGGCTCATGTTCTCGGTAAAATCTCAATGAATCATCTGGAAAAGATAGCCAACAAAATCTTTGAAGTGAACAGAGTCACTTTTTCTGACGAGGAATTTCCTGTAGAAGGTACTGAGCACAATAGAGCTCTTTACTTTATGGTGAAATGTGAGGACTCCGTGGTTACCCGGGTATTGGTTGATAATGGTTCCAGTGCGAACATTTGCCCTCTCTCCACTCTGAGCAAGTTGAAAGTAAAAGATGAGAGGATTCATAAGAACAGTATCTGCGTGCGGGGATTTGATGGCGGAGGCAAAGATTCAGTTGGGGATATAGTGCTAGAGCTGACAATAGGGCCAGTTGAGTTCACAATAGAGTTCCAGGTGCTAGACATAGCTGTTTCCTACAATATGTTGTTAGG